ATCTGATGAAAAATGGAACCAGCTGCTTTTCCTCTGCACCTTGTGAACAATTGCCCTGCCTCTGAGCCTTCCTTGGGGGAGCTTTCCTTGTCCCTCCCAGTCTTAGATCGCCTGGGCAGACCTGATGTTACATGTTAGCTCGCCTGGGCATACCCAATGGCTAGGTGGATGCACCCCCTCAGGAGCCAGTTGTTGAGCAAGCATCAGGGTTCATCCTGGTGGGGCCCATTTCATGCATAAGCTTAGGTTGGCTTTGTGGGTTTCTTTTTTTTTTTTCCATTCTCTTTGGGGAGTGACTTTTTGTGTGTGTGTTCTTTTTGGGGAGTGATAAAAGCTGAGCTGCTTATGCAAGCAGCAACGCATGACTCCTAGCCCAAGGCTTCTGTTGCTCTTTTCTTCTCTTCTCCGCCCACAAAAAATAATTTCACATGAAACCTGTTTTCTGGCCAAGGCTTGTCCCCTCCTCAGCAGGGGGCTTTCTTTTTTGTTGACTTTAGAACAAATTCAGATTTCTGTCTCCAGATTTTGGGGCGCGCACAGCTCTAACTTCCTTTGGAAACTTTGCTTAAATACCAGCATACTTGGAAGCCCTTCTGCCTTCTTCCTCCCACAGTCTAATAATTCTTGCACTGGCGGATTGGAGCAATCTCGGGGGGGGGGGGAGCCAGCTGCTATGTTTGAACGTAGTGTTTTACCCACCTTTTCACACCAGGAGCGGGGGAGAAACTGTGAGCCCTGGGGTGGGTTGGCATGACACCTCTGGAGCTCGGTGGCTTTGTGACAAGCTCCAGGCATATTAAAAATGCCTTTGAGCCTCAGTTTCTCCATGTGCAAAATAGGGTTCAGAAATAATGCCTGTAAAGTGCACGAGAAGCACATGATAGATCCACAAGAAACTGCAGGTGTTGCGAGGAGGGTGAGGACGGTGGTGTTGACTTCAGGGGAGCCTGGCTTTTCAGATAGAGCTGGTGATGGGGTGGATTTAGCAGAGAGAGCTTTGGCCACTTATTTCCCAAAGCCAGCTGTTCCCAAAGGCTTCTCTCAGCTACACCTGAGAACCTTTAAAATGATTACCTACATGCCCAGAAAAGTGGTGAGACTCCATGATTCTCCTGCTCTCCCTTATCTGAATCAAAATTTGAGCCTTTGCAGAGAGGAAAGGTGAGGACAACAATTTTCCTTTCTGTTCTAAAGCAGAGCTCCTCGGAGGTGCTATAAATATAAGAGTATAATTATTCTTTCTCTTAGCCTGTGTAAAATAGGAATAATACTGATTGGTTTAAATTAAGAATAAATCAAATGTGGAGATTCTAAGCCCAAAGTGGGGGAAAGCAGGTGGGCTTAGTCACTGATCTGGGTTTGGGTGCAGACCCCCTGCTCATTAGCCACATTGTTTGCTTTGGGACAGCTGCTTTACCTTTCCCTAGCTCAGTTTCTTCACCTGTAAAATGGGGATGATATCCACTACTTGTAGGATGTAGTCAAGGTGAGATGATGTATATGAAATGCATAGCACCAGCGCATAGCGGGTACACCAATGGTGTGCACACTGTGAGAAATGAGGGACTCCAGTGCTGTTTTGCTGCTGTGAGGATGAATTGGGGAGGAGGCAGTGAACTTCCCTGCCAGTGTCAAGCCACTGAGCTGTCATGCTGGTGGCATCTGCCACAAGCTCAGTCTGAAAGAAAGGGGAGGTCACAGGGAGCCACAGGGGAGACTCATGGGTGAAACCAGAGGGATGTCCCTAATGGCTGGCACCCCCAGGCAGGTTGCATGGAGTTCATTTTCTTCTTTGTCTTGGTGACTCAGGCAGTGTTTTGGACAGAGTCCCTCCAATGGAGGAGAAACCCAGGAGGGTCTTCTTCACCTGGTTTCCCTCCCTGTAAACTGAGCATCCAGTAATTTTTTTTTAAAGATTTTATTTATTTATTCATGAGAGACACACAGAGAGAGGCAGAGACATAGACAGAAGCAGGTTTCCTCAGGGAGCCTGATGCAGGACTCAATCCCTGGGATCACGACCTGAGCCAGAGGCAAATGCTCAACCACTGAGCCACCCAGGCATCCCAGCATCCAGCATTTTATTTATTTATTATTTATTTATTTATTTTTTAAATTTTTATTTATGATAGATAGAGAGAGAGAGAGGCAGAGACATAGGCAGAGGGAGAAGCAGGCTCCATGCACCGGGAGCCCGACGTGGGATTCGATCCTGAGTCTCCAGGATCGCACCCTGGGCCAAAGGCAGGTGCTAAACCACTGCACCACCCAGGGATCCCGCATCCAGCATTTTATTTTATTTTTATTTTTGTTTAATTTTTTTTAATTTATTTATTTATGATAGTCACACACACACACAGAGAGAGAGAGAGAGAGAGAGAGGCAGAGACACAGGCAGAGGGAGAAGCAGGCTCCATGCACCGGGAGCCCGATATGGGATTCGATCCCGGGTCTTCAGGATCGCGTCCTGAGCCAAAGGCAGGCGCCAAACCGCTGCGCCACCCAGGGATCCCGCATCCAGCATTTTAAATGGACTCAAACACTCACTTGCTCACAGCCATTCATTCCCTCTATGCATTGACTGTCCAAAGCGCTCCCAGACAATAATGCTACTCCAGGGAAAGCTGTTTATTTAAAATCTTTATTAATGATGGGAGAAAAATAATGCCATGTGACAATGTTCAGGTCCTGCTGCCTAAATCCATAACAGAAACAGACATTATGACTGAGCAAGCTCACGTGGTGCCAATTCTGAGATCAGATGAGGTTGTTCTTCCTTAGGAAATGGGCTCTGGTAGCATTGTTTTTCCATGTTGTTCTAGCAAAGCCTTTTATTTGGTTCAAGTTTAAATTTCTGTGTGTGTATGTGTGTCTAAGTATGACTACAGCTCTGGGCTGGTGTTTTCCATTTATTTGGTTTCAGGTGTCAGCATTTTGCTGTACTAGGTCAGTCCTCTCCTTTCAGAATAACAGGGCTATTTATTGATACAAAGGAGAGGTGTTCAGTCATCTTGTTAAGATGCAAAGCTCAAAATAAACACCGTATCTTTATTTGGAAATCCACATCCTTCCTTAAAGGAAGGCTCATGAGTAAATTTGTATGAAGTATGAAGCCCAAGTTGAATGTCTATTTTTAATTACTACTTTGCTTACATTTTAGATTGTACAAATGCCTCTGTCGACTCTTACAGGAATTTGGACTGTACTCCGTTTTGAGCCAAAGAACCTTAGCAATAAATACTATTGTATACTTCAAAACATGAAGAACCAGAATGAAATGAGATCTACCTGACTTTTGTTAGGCAACACACTAGTGGTATGAAAAATATACAACAGAGATCAGCGAAGGGGTTCAAATGAACATTGTAAGCAATTTGATGCCTCAGGGGAAAACACTGAGATAATAAATACAAATGACAAATATTTACAATAGAAGCAACAAATGGCACATCAGTAGGCGAACACATAAAACATTTACACTGAGGAAAATATAAAAGTGATGCCTTTCACACATCCAGCCCAGGAGCCGGTGAACAAATGAACAGCTGACCCAGCAACGCGGGAGAATGTTATTGCTTCAGCTTTTGAGTGATGTAAGTAAAACAGTCAACGTGCTGCAGTGGCCCATGGCATGAGACAGCCATGGTTTACGTTCGGTTCCCATGGCAGAGCCTGACACACCGGTCCTCCTCCCCCGAGGGCAGAGCTGGATTAAGTGCACCATCTTTTCTGCTTTCTACAGCTCCAGCTCTTTCTAGGTGCTTCTTCCAGCATTTGTCTCCTTTTCCCCTACACCCAAATGGTTTCTTTCTAATGTGGATCACGAAAGATTGGGGAGATGAGCTTCCAGCACCATGTCCTGGCGCTGATGAAATTGGATGTGGGGTATATAAATACTAGCTGGGCTTTGGGTAAGGGCATTCCCTGGAACAAAGTATTTTAGAGTAGATAAATTCAGCTTCTTTATCTCTCACCTCAGGTTGCTTTGAGGGAGAGCTATAAGCTGATATAAATGGAGGATGCTTACTTTTTTTTTTGCCAACTCAGTAGAATGGGGGTCAGAAAACTCAGGCCCAAGAGCCAGATCCAGGTGGGCACCTATTAAATACAGTTTTACTGGAGCGAAGCCAAGCCTGTTTGTCACACGTTGTCTATGCATGCCTGCTTTCATGCTGCAGCGGCAGAGTTGACCACTTGTGTCTGAAACCACATGATCCACCAAACGAAGACAGTGTAGTTTACATCTGGACCTTTACAGAAAAAGTTTGCTGACCTCTGCTCTAGGAGGAACTGGCCCGGAACACACCTGTCTACTCCTTGTAATACTGGCCTTCTATTTGAGTACTGGCTGCAAGAAAGGATAAGCTTTAATGTGATAACCTAGTAGGAAGGAAAGAAAGAAAGAAAAGGCCTCACTGTGGAACATTCTGAACAACCACAAAACCCTACCGCTGACCCTTTGTGACAATCCTGTTGCTCTGTGCCTTGGATTTTTAGTCTTGTCCCTCCTGCCTTTCCTTTGTCCACTCTGACTCCTTTCTTCATTGCTACATTTCCAATCTGGATCTGGAAAAAATCCTGTTCCTCAGTGCTTCCTGGCAGTCCCCTCCATTTATGTAAGAGGTCAGCTTTCCCTGCTGGAAATCACAGCCATCTTTGCTCCCTTCTCCCCCTTTCCATCAGGCACACTGAGAAGCCATATTTCCAACTTGGCCTTGCCACATCAGGTGCCTCACTTTATCGATCTTGGCTCAGCGTCAAAGTGAGGTAACAAAATGCCAAAGAAAATCTGTCAAATATACTCCTCATGGGTGCCTTTTCCTGCAGGGGTGTAGTTTGCCCTGAGTGGCTATGAGCCCATGCCAGGCAGGCAGGCAGATGTATGGCTCCATTGCTCTTTGATTCCTTTTAAAATAGCACTCAAAAGAAAAAAAAAATCAGCCCCAAAAGATGGGCTGTTATTTCTTTTTCCTTTGAGCTGGTTTTAATGACCCAGTTGCTTTGTTTGAAAGCCATTTATTTAGACGATAGGTATATATGTAGATGTAACTGGATAAATAAAAAAGTGAAGTAGAGATTCAAAGCAGTGGTTAATATACAGACACACAGGGGCCACTCCCTTGGACTGGTCCCACCCCCTCCCCCGATGGAACAATGGCTCAGAAATTACACTTAGAACCCTTGCCCTCCCCATCAAGCAGCTCCAAACCTCCAGGTCCCAGGCAAGAAACTGAACTTTCGTTTGGCACCAAGCACCCACACAGCCCCCGTCTCCGCTCCACCCTTCTGTCTCCCAGCGCGGTGTTCACGTTCACTCCTGCACCCGAGTCCCGCCACCCTCCCTCTGCCAGGGCAGCACCAGAAGCCACAGTCCGCCTGGGGCCCAGCACCACGGGCGTGGTCCCGCCTGCCGACCCCTGCCCCTCGCCTCCGGCCCACCTCCCCCCGCAGCAGAGCACGCTGCAGGCCGCGGTGGCTCTGCGGTTGGAAAGAAGACAGAGTTGCAAGGCGATTGCACTTGAGGATGTGCAAGAGTGGAACCCCCCTGGGGAACAGCCGGGAACAGCTGAGACCTCCCGCTGCCTTGGCCGTCTCTGCCTCACCTGTTCATTCTGCTAGCACACACCTTCATCCAGTCCGCAATCCCCACCAAATCCTGCGTGTGACATCCCCCCTCTTTAATGGCAAATGTTTTGGAATGTCCATAGAGAAGAAAATGGACGGCGTGGAGGAAAGATTTCCCGGCCAGGCCTTTTTGTTTCACCTCCGGATATCGGAATACTCGGAGGGTTCCTCCTCCCACTCGCTGCTTCCAGAAGTTCCCTGGCCCCCTTGGCTGACCGCTCTGCCCCGGGCATGTGCGTTCAGGTGGCTTTTGCTACCTCCCTCGCCCTTGGTGCCTCGGCCTGTCTCCCAACTACTGGGCTCTGAGACGTGGTGACCCGCTTCCCCATGGTGGGTCTTGGAGAGCTTGGCTCTGTCCACTTGGAGTTGGCGCTCAGGGGGTACTGTGGGGGGCCTCTGGATGGCTGAGGTGCAGAAGCTCAAGATGGAGCACAGGCTTCCCCAGTTCTGCTCACACTGAGCCTGAACGCTGTGGGTGATGGCCTCCTTCACCTCCTCCCCACAGGTCAACAGCAGGTTCACCAGGTCCACGTAGGGTCTAGAGATTGGGAGCAGAGACAGAGGGAGAGAGAGATGGAGAATGGAACCAATCTTGACTGGGCCACAGAGCGCAGTGATGATACCAGGCAAGAGATATGCCTGGCTTCAGTTTTTAGTTGGGTGAAAGAGCTTTCTGGAATTACTTCCAGCCTTTATCCATAGCCTATGGAGTGCTGGCCTTAACCACTACTTACTACATGGCCATTACCTACCAGGCTCGGTGCCAGGCATTGGAGAGAGGCTGGTCCTAGAGCCTACCACCGGGAAAAGGGCCAGTGATTATTTACAGGTGCAGAGATAAAAGGAAGAACCTCTGGGGAAAGTGGGTGAGGATGCCGGGTTGGGCAGCTGTGCGAATGTTCAAAAGGAGTGCGGGAGAGCTCTGGGCATGCCTAGGATGTGCCAGCTAGGAGGGTTTTAGTGGGAGGAGTAGTGAAGTGTCTTGGGGGCCAGTGGAATAATAGGCAAATGGCAAGGGTCTGAAATACCAAACGGAGGAGTCTTTTTGGGGGAGGAGTCTTTGCCAATGTTTCACGTGGCTAACCAGCATTCCCCAGCAGTCCTTGGCTAGCGAAGTTTCTGGATATATCTGACCATGAGTGTTGCAGCCCTGGGCCATCAAAGATTCGGGGCTGCGGAGCTCCACATCGCCCTCTTGCGGTGTGGCGTCAGCGAGGCTAGCTGGCTTTGCCCTTGGGACTGCTCTCCCCGGTTAAGTCTTCTCTAAGTGAGGCTCCCGAGGAACCATTGCCCCATGTCTGTGTTTGCCCCTGGTTTAGGCTCATGATGGAGAAGAGTGTTTTTGGAAGGTACTGGATGCACTTCCTGTGTACCTGGAGGAGTCTGGAATAGGTGGAGAAGGTGAGAGGCTGACCACTGCCACCCTGGGATGTCACTTGCAGTGGAGAGTTCTTCCTCTTCCGGGTATTCACGGTTGAAGAGGGGGAGTGGCTATCTCAGCATCTCTGTTCTTTCAGTCTGGGCTTGCCTAGGACTGGAGGTGAGGACTGGCAGGGAGGGGCCTATGTTGGAATGAGTGCCAGCAATCTGTGAAATAAACACTCAGTTCTGGAGGGGCGAGCATTGCTCAGGCCATCCAGCTGCCCTGGGTTGTTCTGTAGGAAAAGTGCTCTAGGAAGAATGACCATGTCATGCCAACAAAGGGGTGGGAGTTGTGTGTAGAAGGCGGGAACAGTTTGCCTTATTTTTATGGGCCCATCTAGTAAGAGGTGTCCCCGGCAATGGTCTCTTGTGGCCCACTCACTGAGCCCTTCTTATGTCTCATGGGCCTTCTAAAATCCCCAAGGAGGGTACGGAATGTTTCATGTGGCTAACCAGCATTCTCCAGCAGTCCTTGGCTAGCGAAGTTTCTGGATATATCTGACCATGTGCGTTGCAGCCCTGGGCCATCACCTTGAGCACGGAAATCACTCTGGGACATGAGATCATTTATAAGAAGGAGCAAGACTTTTTTACTCTGTCAGCCTGGGCCACTTGGGTGACTGCATGTTAGCCCACTTACTCTTCTCTTTGCGAGTTGGCAGTTGCTAGGCACGAAGCGCAGATTGTGTTTTAGGACTTGTGAAGTAGTTCACTGCCATTTTTATGAATTAGTCCTCAAGTTGTAGTTGAACTATCCTCGTGTCATAGATGTAAAAATGGAGATGGCTGGGGGGCGGGTGGTGCAGGGAGAGGAGAAAGTCGTTTTTGGAAGCTTCTGGGCTGGGAAGGCCTAGAGCTCGGCTGAGAGCAGAGAAGAGGAATGTTCTGGCTGATAGAGATCAAGCTGCCTTTTAAGGCCTACTTGATGCCTTTGGAGTCAGAGAGTCTGTGCATGGCTGATGGACAGGGTGCTTAAACTCTCTAAGACAGGCCCCTAACAGTGACAAGGACAGTGATAATACTTCTCGGGGTGAGACTGGGGGCCATGGGGTGACACAGAAGAAATGCCGCATGCATATTTGTTTCCTTCCACCGTTTGACAACTAGCAACTGCCTGCCTCAGGGAGTTCTAGGTCATGGAGTCTTATCTGCTACAGCAGCATCAGGATTTTAGTGCCTGATTTGTACCTGCCACCCTCTGAGGCTAGATGAGCAAATTGCAGGGGCTGAGAATCTATCTTTCTGGGACTAGCCTGATGGTCTTCTTTGAGTTTCTTTCCCCAGAGTAAGGTGAGGGGGCTTTCCTGGGAATGTATGGACTGCCTCCTGGCCTCCTTTGCCAGGGCAGTCTGCCTGCCAGATGAGCTTTCAGAACCCCAAGGCGGATCTGAGAAGGCTGGACTAGCCCACACTCTCTCCTGCCTTTGGCGCTGTCTCCCGAGGAGAAAGCTGCGAGCCATGGGGAGGGGTGTGTGTTAATCTAAGCCGTGTTTTGAGCTGGCATGGTGCCTTCTCAGGCTGCAAGCTCAGCCCGTGTCTAATGACAAAGCCCAGCTTTCTCAACTGGGTGTCAGCAAGGCTAAAAGATTTTTAAAAATACTTGGAGGGGGACGTGCCTGGAGGCTGCCAGCACCCAGTGACAGGGTGTGTGGTAGCCAAGGCAGTTGATATGGGGAAAGTGGGGCGGGAAGGAATGGAGGGAAGTAGAGAGTTTGAAGGGAGCGACTTTAACCAAACATGACTGTTTTGGGGTGGATAGGAATTGGGTTGAGGAATGGGGGGATGTGGATTCTGGAGTGACTGTGATTTCTTCTTTTCTAAAGGGAAAAGCAAATTGGTTCTCATTTTCTTATCTGTGACCAATGCCACACATTCTTAAATGGTCTTCTTGATATTTGGGGACTGATGGGATCCTTTGTGCCAAATCAGTGAAGATAAAGAACAACTCCGTTAATTTGGCTTGAAGTTTGAGTTGGTGCACTGCATACTCACAGCTTCAGAAGGAAGGTAGTGGAGTTCAGTGGGGAGTGAGGTTAGGCGAGACCCACTGCCTAGAGGTGCTGGCTCAGCGAGAGGAAAGAAGATAGTGAGTGCTCTTAAAAGAGACCCATGCAAATGTATGGGGTGAGCCACCTGCATTCCCAGATTGGGCTGGGGTGGAGGGCTATGTATTAATTCTAAATGATGTGAGAAGGCCTTTGGAAGTAAAAATCACATGGCCCATGGTCCATGGAGGAGGCACCAGAAAAGCAACAGGGCTTTAATGCTGGGGAGGGGCATAAGAACCTCCAAAACATTTGGTTTTCTCAAAGACGACTTTTCTCTAATCTTAGAAAAGACAAAATCTTCTTATACTCCACGAATGTAGTACTGACTTATAAACTCATGCCCTTCATCCATTTTTGAGGCCAACAAACTATCTAGAGTGGGTGACAGTGGACTGGGGAGTCTCTCAGCCATGGGGCATCTGCCTCTTCCAGGGGTGGCTCGAAGGAAGGGAATTTTATATTGCTTTCCTTGTGTAATGGGGGTGTATTTGAGAAAAGGGAAGAACTCCTGCTATATCTGGGGGCCAGTGAACCTTTAGCAGGTCTAGTAGGGAGAGAGCCTGTCAGGAGGAAGGAGGTTTCTATTCCTGATAACCAGCACAGTCATATATATTGCCAGTTCCCAAGCTGGAAAGTAGGGATCACACCTCAGAGCCAGAACTTGAACCTCTTAGCTTCCCTTTCCTCCTCTCTTGGGTGGGGATAGTAGTCTCTACCTTGCTGCCCTGTTGGGAATGATAAATGAGATTGTCTGGGCAAAGTCCCTGGCCAAGGGCTTGGCCCACTCACAAAATGATAGCTAATATCATTATTATTGTTGTTGAAGCTGTTGCTCTGTTTCCAAACAGCTGTTTGGAAGAGTAATAACTATTTTATTGGGTATTCGTGTGACTAAGGAGAAGACAAGAGCTGCCTGCAGAGATTCACGGCAAATTTTAAAATTCCCTGCACAGGGGGGTTTCAAGATACCTAGACTCTCATATCCTAGTGGAAAGTGGCGGGTGATGGTTGTAGTCCTCTGTGATCTAAGCATTGTGTGTATGTGGGGGGGGGGTTGGGGGGGTAGGGAGGAGCCTGCTCAGTGGCATAGCTGGGGGAAGGCCATGGTACCAACTAAGGAGCAAGGTTTCCTAAGATTGTACTGATTTGGCCCAGTGAGTCACTGTGTGAAGACCAATGGTGCCATCAAGCTGGCAGGGACTCGTATTGGTCTGCTTAGCTAGTGGCCTGCTTCCTGCTCTCAAGTCTTTGAGGAAGGAGCTATCGTGACTTACCGCCCATGCTTCATGTTAGGAGCAACTGAGTACCACACACTTTATCACTTTGCAAAGTTTAGGATCTTACAGATGGGATTTTTTTTTTTTTTTAAGGAATAAGATGTCCTAGGCTTATACTGAATTGCAAATCTTTGGATAAGTAAGTTCGTATTTCCCCACTTTGGCAAAAAGGTGTTTAGCTGATTAAAATTTTTGACATTAATCTTGAGTTTTCTCTGGGAGGGTATTAATGTGTTAGAGGAGGTGAACTGGACCTTCTGAGGGAAAGGAGGGCCATGGAGGAAAAAAAAGGCTATTGCTCTCAGCTTTTGGCATTTAAGCCTCTAGAGCCAGACTGCTTGGCTCCGAGCCTGGCTTTGCCTCTCATTGTCTGTATGACCTGTACTTCAGCGAATCTCAGTTTTGTGATCTGTAAAATGGAGATGAGGATGGTACCTACCTGTACAGGGCTGCTATGAGGCTCTGGTAAAAGATTCATGTGGAGCACGGAGCATGATGCCTGGCACTGAGTAAATGCTCAACCAATGTTATTAGCTCTCAGCTGCCTGTTGGGGCACCAACACAGCCATTTGGAACACTCGGACCTGCTGGGATCTGGGCCAAGGGGAAGGTGAAGTGTATTTCTGAATCCTACACATTTCATGCTTTAGTAAAACATTTTCTGTTTCTGTTGCTTATGCTTTTGAAATCAATGGTGGAAATTTCTCTCGCTTTTCCCGAAGGTCAGCAGGAAAGGGACTCCCAAGGGAGTCAGTGCAGCTTTCTGAGATAGACCGGAGACCAGCCTCCAAAAACAAGCCTCTCAAATTCCTCCAACACCAGCCTGTTGCAGTGGGCCCCTCCTTCCCACGAGCCCCTGTGGGGCAGCACTCACTCGTGCAGCAGTAAGTCCTTGAAGTGGATCATCTCTACCATGACCCGGGTGTTCTCCTGGGCAGCAGAGCACAGATCGTGTTTGAGGTAGCATTCCCGTTGTAACTGGAACACCATTTCCTTAATGGCTGGGCACTTCCTGCTTATGCAGCCAAATCGATGCCGCAGAGCGTGGGCCTTACATTTCAAGGCATCTTTGATGAATGATTTGCCCTGAGAACACAGAGGACAGAGGAGAGAAAGAAGGGGCAGAAAAGACAAGTCCTGGTTAGAGGCTCAGACGTTTATCCCTCTTGGGCTTACACAGGATTTTTGTTTGACAACTGAGTCCCAAGGCCCTGCCTCAAACTGATGGTTGGTCCATGCAGGTGACAGGCTGATACTACATCAGGAGGTACGTTGAGTGACATGATGCCTCTGGCATCTGGGCAAAAAGGATGTTACTTTAGGAGACTAACAAATCTGCCTCCTTCCTCCCCAGCTGCTGTACTGGTTTCCTTTGTCCTGGGGCTTCTGTGGCCATCTGTCCTCTAGGCAGCCCAGTGTTGGCTGCTTGGTGGCAACTTTTCTGGAACATGAGGGGAATCTGGCCAGATGTAAGTCCAGAGTTCCCAGCAAGAGTTTTTCCCAACTAGAAGGTGCCTGCTTATCCAAGTCTCACATCATTGCTTTTTCCTCTGACTCCGCAAGTGACATCAAGACTGAGTGCTATCTGTGCCTCCTTCTTCTGCCTCACTGCCTCCCACCGCCCCCAACCCATACTCATGTCTCCTCCTATCCTTCAAGGAGGAGCATTCTTTTCCTTTTTGAAAACGATTCGACTCCTTTAAACTGTTAGGATTATTGCCTCTAAAAGGCCCGCCTGGCACACTGCCTGGCAGCATCTGGAGTCTGAACTGCCCAACTGACAGCCCCTCCCCCACACTCCCTGCCTCTGAGTGGCTAAGGCAGCCAGGCATACATCTGGCCCACAGTTCTCTTTCCTGGCAACCCCATTAGATTGTTCTTATCCTAGAAAGGAGACAGCTGTTGGTGGTGTGGAGGCAGGCTGGGGCTTTCGCTCCCTTATCAACCTCTCAGGACACAGAGGCATTGTGGGATACCTACTCAAGGATCCCTACATCCCCCATTACTATAGAAACAAGCTGTTGTTGGAGAGGTCACCCCTCTGTTTTTAGATAGGCCTGGAAGTAACTGAGTGGAGAAAGAAAATGGGCTTAGGTTGGAAGTGGGAAGCTAGCCAGCACATTTAATTCAGTTCTTCCTTTTAGAAGCAACTGAAATGTCTACAGATAGTGTCTGGTCGCTGAAAAACCACCTCCCAAAGGCCCCTTTTGCTCAGATTTTCCAGGGGGAGCCAAATAGGATGGAAGGTAGGGCATGCCAGTTTATGAAGTAGTCACATGCTGGGAACCAGCTTGAGAGGGATGCTTCTCACTTGAGAACATACTCCTGTTGGTTGAGAGAAAAAAGAAGATAATTTATTCGAGGGCTGCAGCAAGAATTTGATATTCTTCCCTGACATACTGTGGGGTCGTCCTGAGAAACACATCTTTCCTCCGGATTTCCTATTATGTTTCTTAATTCCAGTTAATCCAGAGGGATGCTTTATTAGGGAGCTTCGAGGAGTTCAAATGTTCTCCTCTTTCCTTCTCTGGTTTCTGTTTCCCCTCCTGCCACCCCACATCCTCTGCAGGGTAGGCTGCCAGTCCTGCCGCATCCCTCTCTGGTTCCCAGGCATTGCTTTGTCAGGCTCTCTACAGGATGTCAGTAGATGGTGATGGGTGGCATTCATAAGTCACACCATAACTGTTGGCCTCATCCAACGTATCCCCACTCCCCAATGAAATGGGAAAGGAAGTTGATGAGATAAAACAATAGGGGGCTTCGTAATACATATATAGGCTGGGAGACCATGAAGAGGTGAGCCTAATGCCACCTGCCATATATCTGAATTGTCAGCACTGGAACCAGAGGATGGCTTGTTAGGTTCTTGCCCTGCTCCAAGAAACAGCTAGGCTTTTTTCACTCTGTGACTCTGGGGTAGCTGGAGTGGGTCAGGCATTATTAAGAGGACTCTATAGAACAGGACTCATTCATGATTTTCAGGTTGGGAGAGGAGGGTGTGCTACTTAGGAGGAATAATTCTGTTATTCTGGAGGCCCTGAATTATCCATGTTGCCTGCTCACATACCCATTGGAGATGATGTGTTTCTATGAAGTTTGTGTCTCATTTATTCTTCCCTAGTTGGTGAAAACAGGTCTTGGAATGTATAATTGGAGTCCCTATCCTTTCCTCACTCCAGACCTACCGTTTCTAATGGGATGGACCTTGCAGACTGAGTTCTCAGAGGCCAGACATAGTGTGTCTCCCCTTACAAGACGTTTATTATTTGTTATGACTTTTGTGTTCTCTGCTAAGAATCCTTAGATGATTGTTCTACTTGCTCTCCATCCCACTCTGCCTGTGTAGACACAGCTTAAGAGTGGAGAAGGATTTCACCTATATGACAGTTCTGTAGAGCAGAACCCTGTGAGTGGAGTGGGGAGAGACTGGTATCCTGCTGTCCACCAAAAATGTCTCTTGCAAATGCTAAAACATGCCACGAAGATCAGCTGAGGACACCTTAGCTACACAAGTCCTTCCAGTGAACATTTCAATCATGCTATGCCAACCTAAAACATTTTGTGCTCTATGTGTTTTTTTACCTGGGCATCAAATTTTCCAGCGTTGTGTAGAAAAGTCATGCAAATCCCATGTAAGCCTCGAATCTCACAAGAGTTGTTCTCGAAACATTCAAACACACCACACCCCACATCGCCAGCGTTGACCAAACAGTGTTGGATTTCCGCTAAAATGAGAATTACATACAAATATATACAAAATTCTCAGCCACGCTGGGGAATGCAGGGAGGTCGGCTGAAATAAAAGTTAGTAATGACTAAAAGTAAATTAAAAAAGATTAAGTTAGAAATGACTATTCCAGGATCTAAAAAGCCAGGGCAAGAAAATGTCATCATTCAATCTATTTATGAAAATGTCAGTATTGGTAAATACCGTATCTGTAAAGAAATCAGCCAAACCTACGTTTACAAAAATCACAATCAGAAGTTTGGTCTGAGCACTCCATTTTTCCTCTTCCCATCTTCTTCAAGTCTTTGTGGAAATACTTAGTTTGAAAGCAGAAGCTATTTCAGCTTTCTAAACCCACAGACACAAGTAAGATATTTTAAATGATTAGTTTGGTCTCCCCCTTCTGCACTTCATCAATTAAATACCCTTCTCTACTTGGAACCCAACGCTGCTGCTACTAAATCACAAGCATTTCCTTCCTGACCCCCAAATTCAAGCGTCCAAAAAGCAGTTTCAATTCAGCTTTATGATTCAACACCTAAAAATCAAAACAAAATTCCTATTAAGGCAGCGCCTCCAAACCATCAGCATTAAAAATACCAGGCTAGGGAAGCTGCGGTTGGGAGCAGGCTCGGGAATCGAGTCAGATGGGGGCTAGCCTGCGGAAACGCAATCGTCGAAGTTAGAGGCTCCTTTTAAATAGAGACCCAGTGTGAGATATCACTTAATCCCCTAGAAATTCCCGAGACCCAAGACTTGAGAGTTTGCTGCCCTCCTTCGCAGAAGGTGGCCCTAATTCATCTCTCCAAAAGGACAGACTGAGGGAGTTAACTGTCAGGCTGCCGCTTGCAATAGCCTCTCTCCTGCACATCCCCCCCCCCCCGCCCATTTACAGATTTAAGCCAACCACAAAATTACATCAGAAAAGTATATTTTGGAAGAAGGGCGGGGTCCGAGTAGGTAATCCGCATTCAGATTAAATCTACCGAGAGAATGAGGGGCGTGTATTTGTTGAGGTCACCAACTACCGAGAATCACGTTCAGTTCTCAGGCACAGCACTGGAGAGGGGGAAGGGTGGGCGCAGGTCCTAGGATGAGCCCCGCGCGGGCTGGGGGCGCGAGCGCTGGCGCGTGGAGGCGGGAGGCTTCCGGATGATCCCACGCGCGGCCCCGGCGCGCCGGGCAGGAGCGCGCAGGGCCGCGGTTCCCTCGCTCCCGGCGTCCCTAATGGGCACTCGTGCATTCCTGCTCGTGCGGTGAGCGCACGCACGCTGGGTTTCAGGCCCCCAAATAAGGCGGGGGGGGGGGAGGCGCCGAGCGTAGGAGCTCTAGGCAGATTTTCTTTCTCTCCCAGGAGCTGGGCAAAGGGCCAGCCCCGTGCCCTGCACGCCCGGCTCTGCTCGGCAGCTTGCCGGCGAGCGGCGAGCCGGCTGAGCAGCAGCCGCGCACGGTTCGGGCCGTGCGTGTCACCATTTCTGCGCCTGCCGACCTGCTCTGGAGAGGGAAAAGGCGGCGGCACCTCAGAGGGACGCTCTGCGCCACCCCCCCGACCCCTCCCCGGAAAGCAATGCCCCCGAGCGGAAAGTTCGCAACGCAGTCGGTCTCGCTTACAAAGTTCTTGGATGTCGGGCATCTTCTGAGGAGGGGGAACGCGGTCCTGTCGCAGCCCGCCGGCTGGGAAGAGAAGTTCTCCGGGCACGGGGCGCAGGCCGGCCCCGGGGACCCTCCTTGGCTCCCGCGGGCCGGCCAGGATGGAGCGCGGAGCTCTGAACCAGACCGGGGGCTCCGGCACCGGCACCGGCCCTGCCGGGCGCTGCCTCGTTTACCCTCGACCCCGGGGAGGACAGCAACAAGTCCTACCCCTGCCATTTCATCACCCTGCCGGCACGTGCGGATTCCCGGCGCGCGGAGCCCGGCGCCGACCGCGTCTCGCCTGGCCTCGAGCTTTCCTCTGCACGTCCCGCGCCACCCCAAGAGTTTGCGCGGCCCTAGGTGGGCTCTCGGTCCCGGGCTCTCGGTCCCGGGGCGCGCTGCGTGAGTGCGCGGTGTCGTCCCCCAGCTGCTCCCCGCCGCGGGGGCGCTCGCACTTACCTGTGTTCTGCAGGGACAGGCGGCCTTTCTGCTGGGAGCCCCTGTCTTGGGGACCCTCCGGCGGGTTGGTGGCGTCGGTCCCCCGCGCCAGGTCGAAGGTGGCCAACACCAAAGCCAGGGTCACGAACTGGCCCAGCCGCTCAGCACACATGGTTCTTGGTGTAAACCTCCCGTCCGGAGACCTGGATTCTTTGTGTTCCCCTCCTCCTCTTCCTCCTCCTTGGCCGCTTCCCCTCCTCCTCCCACTCTTCCTCCTCGCTCGCCGTTTCCCTCCTCCTCGCGGCCGCAGCTCGGATAGAGGTTACCCAGCGCCCTCCCGTAGCTCTCTGGAGAGCATGTGACCAGGCCGTTAGCAGCGCCGCGAGTGCCGGGCAATGGCAGGGATGGTGCCTCAAATATCCCTGGAAGCTCTGGTGTCACTTGAATGAAGGAGTCGAGCAGGTGTTGTCCCAGCGGCTGGACCAATCCGAGACCCCGGCCCGTTTGACAACACGGCTGGGAGGCGGGGCCTGCGCCCAACTACTACGCGGGGAAGCGGAGCTCCGCGGGGGCGCCCCACAAAGTTGCCGACCTGGCGGCGGCCGCGCGTTTGCGTGCGTGTATGAGTGTGTGTGAGCGGGTTTTCCAGGGCAATGGCCGAACGCACTTTAAAAAATAAAAGCGAATGCCAGCTCGGACTGCAGCTCGAGAAGGGCGGGAGGACACGGTCCGCGCTGGGACGGCGCTCCCCCCAAGCCCCCCGCCCCCGGGCCCTTGGCTCGCATCACACCCGCAACGTGCTGGGAAAGTTTCCTCTTTCTGTCCCTTGGAATTCAGTGAGCTCCTAAGCCCCGAGCCTCGACAGATTGGGAGTTTCCCGGGCACCGCGACGCTGGGGGCAAGCGGAGCATAAATGGGAATTCCTGGCTTTGTGACGCTTTGCATTTAGGAAAAACAAAACAAAACAAAACAAAAACAAAACCCTCTCAAACTGAGACGAGAGAAGCATCAGACAGGACTTGGCCTGAGGAACTGCCCCATCTCCCTCCCGATTTGGTGGGCCGTGCAACACCTAGTGTGCCGGTTCCTCGCCCTTCCCCCAATCCACACGGATTCCGGGCTGGGCCGCAGGGATCCAGGTGACCGACTGGACTTGCATCATTTCCAGGCGGCTGGCAGGGAGGCCCAGGCAGCCCGGAGTCAGCCCGCCGCGGCGCATCGCTTGCCCCAGAGGTCCGAGCTTGAAAGGCAACTTTACGCGTCTCCAAACACGCTCTTCCATCTTCCCAGGGCGCTACTCGCCGCCCCGCTCCGGGTTCCCTTTACACGCCAGTCATCGACGGACATGGGTAAAAAAACCAAAACCAAAACCAAAACCAAACCCCCAAGCCAAACCCAGGGAAATTCTCTCCATCTCTTCCTTCTTGTTGCAGCTTCCTCCCCAAGCCCGGCCGGGACTCCGTCGCCCCGGCTGCTCCCCTCCACCCCCCACTCGCCCGCCCGCGGAAGCTGGGAGAAAGTTGGGCGCCGCTCGGAGCGCCTCTTCCCCCGCTGTGTGTGTACGTGTGCACGCTCACGTCTCCCCGGCGCCGGGCCGGGCCGGGGACAGGAACTGCTCTGGGCACCGTCAGTCCGACGGCGCAGCTCCGGGGCTCGCGCGGCTGGGGGGGGGGGCGGGGACCGGAGCGCCGCGGCCGAGCGCCCCGCCGCACGCACGCCCCCGGCTCGCCCCTCCCCCGCCCCCGCCTCTCGCCCCTCCCCCGCCGTCCCCACCCTCCTCCCGGAGAGCAGGTGAGCTCGGGTACCGGCCCCCACCCCCGCCCCGCCGCCTGCCCGCGCCCTCCGCGGTAAGGCGCCGCGAGCTTTCATCACCCTGTGCCCGCGGCGACGCGGCCCCGGGTCTCTGCGGCGGGACGCACCGCGCGCCTCGTTGGGGCCGCCACGTGACAGCTGGGGGAGGGGGTGCGGCGACGCTGGGGCCAGGTCGTCCTCCGGCCGCCGCCGTTGGGCCTCCGCAGCTTCCCTCCCAGGGTCCTGGTAGCACTCGGGCGCAGGCAAGGCGGAGGCGGGAGGCCGGGGTGGCCGCCGCTGGGCACAGCTGTCCTGCGCTTGGAGCGGCCCTGAGTCGGGAGTCCAAGAGGAGGGGGTGGGGAGGGCGCCTTCGGAGAGGGCAGTCCCCCGTCCCCGCCCGACCAATAAATGGTCCCTTTGAAGGTTTGAGTCTGCAGCCCTGACAAGAAACCGAGCGCCCATGCCCAGGATTACAATAACCACTACTTCTTGCAGCCTCTGATCTCTTGTGGAAGGAGGTGGGGTACCAGTACATTAAAATGGGTGGTTTGAATTTCCCACCCTGCTTTTGTTTGCATAGTTAACTTAGCTTCCTTTATTACTTTATGAAAAACACTCTCCTGTAGACCCTTGAAAGACAAAACATAACAAACAAACAGGGGCATTCTGGCCTCTTACTGAACTCCGAAAGCCCCTGAATTTCCGGGGTCAGCCTTCTTTCCATGAAACCTCTTTTGTAGGTGAGAACACGAGCAATATTGGCATTATAAAAGGTGTCTGGTCACTTGGTTCTTTGAACAACAGAAATAGGAGGGTTCAGGGGGCAGGAGCAAGCCCACCTTTGCTGGATGCTGACATTGTGAGTCTACTTAACAGAAGGCTCGGAGGGCACCTGGGACAGCAAGGTAGGCGGGTGAAGGTCTTTGACTAGGCATTGCCTGGTGCCATGAAGCCCTGGGGCTGCCCCTAGGGGACCTGCATTATTCAAAACCTCATCTTGAGGCTATTTGCTCACAGGGGACATTCCTGTCTCTCACCCAAGCCAACTGCCTCTTTAGAAGGAAGAGAAAAGTAGTAGCTAGATTTTGAGGTATTGCAAGTACAGGTACTCATTCTTAAAGGTTTCATCTCCAGGCCAGAGAAGAATGAGCATCCCCGTTCAGTCCCATCAGGGTTGAAGAAATTCTGCAGAACTAGTAGGCAGTTTGCTGGGACAATTATCCCAGGCCCTGGGGCTTTGGCTGGGAGCTGGGAGGGAAGAGCAGACTGGTGACTTTGTTGTAACCGTTCCCCTTATTCTTCTGGGTCTAGAACTCCAGCTTTGTTTGGCAGATTGTGGCTGATGAGAGTAGGGGTAGGGAGGGGACACTCATGATCTTATTATTACAAAGCTAACATGAATTGAGAACAGACATGGTGCCACACACCAAGTTTGTGGCTTTTGGTGTCCCTCTAGACCTGAGTCCACCCTAGATGGGAACTGGGACTTGGGAGGAGCAAGGACAGACCAGATGGTGGTGTCCCAAGGTTCAGCAGGGAGTCTGGCTGGATGGACCCTCCTCAGTTTAAGACCCAACCAGGGGTAGGAACTATGAGGCAGGCCTGCCTGGTGACATCCCAGGGCGTCTGTGGTTGATGCTCAGGACCCACATTTTCCTCTCTGATTCACCAGTTAAATTCAGTTAAACACTTACTGAGCAGTTTGGGGGAGGATATTTGGGGTAGACTCTGAGCAGTAGGAGAGGATACTGACAAGTAGAGGTAAGGAAAAGAGAGAGGGCCTCACAGGAGGGAGGACCAGCAGGAGTAAATGAATGGATGAGATACTGTGGGATTTGTCTCAGAAATAGGGGTTTCTCAGGTTGGTGTGAAAGTGGGAGAGAAAACTGGAGAGGGTGTCTGGGGCCCCACTGTCAAGGCCTTTGGGACAAATCTGTGCTCAGGTTCTTGTTCCGTCATTGCAATGGTGTTTAAGGATGAGACTCCAGCATGCTCTTAGACTGGACTCCCCTTTGGAACTAGTTAACGCCAGGGGCCCAGTGCTGACGTGGTGAAGGAGGAGGTGGAAGAGAAGAATGGGAAGTCATTAGTTGGAATCTTGATGTGAGTTGCCATGCGCTGCAGGACAGAAGTGTTCTTGCTCAGGTGCGCAGGTGGGGCGGTGGAGGATGGGAACGGTCATTAGGTGATGAGGTAGTCTCATTCAGGCTTTCCATGAGTTCCAGAGCCTGAGTGGAAAACGTGGCTTCCACGTGGAGAGCTCCTCCTACTGCACACCCCGCCCCCTTGGAGCTGCCTGTCTGGGCTGATGGCACCACCTCATGGTCAGAGAGGGAACTGTCTGACCACAGAGTGGACTCTTCCAGACTCAAGGGCTTGGGGCACTAATATTGGGTCTTCTGCCCTCTTTTCAGTTTCCTTGGTAAATCAATTCATGCTCATTTAGGCAGTCTCCTCGTAACAACAGCTTTAGTTGCCTCTTCAAGGAAATCTCTTTTAAACTTTTTTGCTTTTCCTCCCCCATCCTTTGCTATCTTGCTATGCGAGCCCCAAATCTACCCTCATTCTGGCTTCTTTGCCTCCTGCCCCTATGAAGGAAAATATGGGCAGACAAAATAGCAAACTGCTGCTATCGACCTTTAAAATTCTTGAAAGAGGAAGTCTCTCCCTAGAAATTCTCCATCTTTTCCCTTGTCTTTTTTTTCACTGAAGGGGTTGTTACATTAAATAGAATTCGGGATAAAGGAGAATATGTCTTCAGTATTTGGGTTTGTTTGTTAGGACTTCAACAAAATTGCTTTCTACTAATTTTTACCGTGAAAGTACAATGTTTCAACAACGTTATGAGTTAAGGCTCTTGTGGGGCTGGCTTGGAAACCTCACCATCATTTATGATGTTATTTATTGAAGGAAAATATATTCTGAGTTCCCAAGACAACCAGCTCCCAAAGATTTGGAACACATTGCTTTTGTGAATTGGACATTTCCTCTGTGTCATAGATTAATAGTCATAGTTTGTATTGACTGGAAACACAAAAGATAAAAAAGAGTTTTTAAAAATCACCAGAAAATAGAAACATTGTCTTCCTCACCATAAATTCATTTACTGGAAAGAATATGAAGCGGTATATGTCGGATGTCTGATTGTGGTCTGAGTTTTGTTGGTGCCTTGCTTTGAAGCCTGAATAGTATTCCGGAAGTCCTCTCTATTTTCCTTGGGTCATCATTTTTGCTTTCTCATTGTGTGCCAAGACGAACTCCAGGAGAAAGCATCCCAGGCGAAAGGCTACTTAGTCTCCATGAGGAGTGGTGGTGGAACCCAGAGGTGAGTGTACCTGGTGTTGGAGAACTGTAGAGTTCTCTTGGCTGGGTTTCAACTTTGATGAGAACCAATGGATTTCAAGTGGGTGAAGAAAGAGTCTTTTTGTAGGGCAATTTTCCAGTGGGCCAGATTTTGAAAGTCTTTGTGGAACAACCAAATCTATAAATGTGATTTAACTGTCTGTACAATCAAGGTTCGTTGGACCTAGTTTTGGTTTCTGAGCTTTTTTTTTTTTTTTAAGCAGTTCTAAATATTTGTAAAGGTTCATGTTTTGTGACTTCTGTTCTTTTTAAAGAAATCTTCCAAAGATCAAAGAAAGTATTTACTTTTTAACAAAAACAGAAGAAAGCTCATTCTCTCTTGAATTTGCCGCATGGGACCAATTAGAACCATTTATAAATCTAAGGTAGCTCATGGGATCTTGGTGATCTTATTTTTCTTATTTCTTGAAACATTTTCCATTTTATTATCCTAGGAATTATGTCATCATTACCCATAAGTTATTTTTAATTATTCTATGCTAAAAACACTTAAAATAATAAGAAAATGGAAGATAGAATCACCACCTAGAAGGACGATACAACAGTGAAATAAACCATCACTGCTGCATCACCTTTCTGTCATCTTATTACATTCCTTAGCACATTACATCATCTTTCAAGAAGGTCTAGAAGAAGATGGAAGACACCATATTTGTTCTTTTCATCGCATCCAACTGGGAATCCAGAAGTTTTCATTTCCTGCACAAATGGTAAGAGAAGAAAATCAACAAAGGAAAATGTTTTATTGTAGGTAGACACATCAGAAGGGCCAGCAGTGCTGTTGACTCTGCTAATGCTAGTAAAGTTGCTTTTATAAGCACAATCTCAGACAATGAGTTTTATGAGATAATAATCTGGATGAATTTTTCTCAAACTTCTGAATCGATGAATAAACAGTATCTTTCTGAGGACAAAGAGAAACTATGATTATATTCTCATCCACTTAGTCATTCATCAGGAATGATTTCATCACTTGATATTTTGCAACAAGAACCTGAACCATCCTGTTTTGCTAAAAGAATGGGGGCTAGCATTCTTTTTACCTCTTGCGTTCCTGACACAATTTGCAGGGGACAAATGATGAATTCAGATGTGTTTACAAAGGCAGTTAAAAGGAAATAGATGATATAGAAGTGGGAAAAAATTATTGGACTAGTTCTTGCTGGTATTTACCCAGCTTAAAAATGCTTTGCAAGTGTGGGGAAAGGAAGATGCTCATCTTTTTAACAAACTTATGAGCCATCAGAGGTTTGAAAAGTAGCAGGTTTTGTTATGTCAGTGAAAGAAGAACCAGAACTAACGATAAGCTAGAACTTATTGGAGATTTTCTTAAGATCTGGAATCAGTATTGATAAGATGGATCTGTCCCAAGTTCCTGCATACCAGCTGATGAACAGTTAGTTGCATGTAGAGGACATTATGCATTTTGAGTTTATATATCTTCAAAGTCAGAAAAAAGGGAATGGAAATTTGCTATATTTAAACCATTAAATTTTGTAATAAGGATTTAAAAAAAACTTTAATTTTTTGAGAGAGAGAGTGAGACACATGTGATGGGCTTACTTATGCACAGGGTGGGGGAGGAGCAGAGGGAGAATCACAAGCAGGTACCGCACCCAGCACGGAGCTTAATGGGGTTTAATCTCATTACCCCGAGATCATGACCTGAGCCGAAATTGAGAGTTGGATGCTTAACCAGCTGAGCTACCCCAGGCACCCTAAATTTTATGATAAAGTTTTTTATTTATTTTTTTAATTTTTATTTATTTATTTATTTATTTATTTTTTTATGATAAAGTTTTAAATACCATCCTTTTATTACTACTTCCATAACTTACTCATAAAAATAAAAAGGGTCCATTGGACCCTGATGGTAAACGAAGCTGACAGTTTTTTCCTGGTGTACTGGGGGTTAAGGTCACTGAGGCAAAATATTAATTAAAAAAAATCAAGCAAACCCCCTTAGGCAAGCAGGAGTGACTGTAATAGTATCCCTCCACTCCCAACCGTTTCCCCATCCCACCTTCCCAAGCATGCTTACCAGTAGGGATTGATGATTGTTTTAAAGCAGATGGTTTGAACAAGAGACATTGTCACGTAGCCTCTCAGTTTACTCTCCCCTGTAGTGGAACTCAGTGCTTTTCAAAGTTCACTGGGGGTGAGAATTAGTGTACTGGACACATAGCATGAAATACTCTGTTTTAGTGTATTGTAGACAGGATTTAGTTTTAACCACTCAGGATTTTCACTTTGTTTGAAAACTTTAGAACCTGATTATCTTAGCCCATTGGGGCTGTTGTAGCAGAATACCATTGACCACGTCACTTACAAACAGGCATTTATTTCTCACCATTCTGGAGGTTTGAAGTCTGAGATCGGCGTGCCAGCATGGTTGGGTTCCTGGTGAGAACTGCTTCCTGGTTATATCTTCATATGGCTTTCTTGGTGTACATCAGGAGAGAGAGAGAGAGAGAGAGAGAGAGAGAGAGAGAGAGAGAGAACGAGAGCGTGGACGAGTAGGCAGGTTGTAAACTAGGCGGGATGTTGTGGAGGAGAGGACTCACACTTGTGCATTGACCAGGGCTAGACCCCGAGGGCCTGGGGTCTCTGCCTCCATCAGCAAGTAATGGAAAACCCAACGCCAAAGTCTTAAGCAATAGAGGCAAGCTCATTATTCCCCCCATTCCAGGAAGTCCTGAGGTGTGGGGCTAGTGTGGGTGCAGCAGATGGATTGGAGGTGGAGACCTCTGAGGAAGGAACACACTGAGAAATGAAGTGGCAAATTGGAGAGGAAAAGGAAGAGATGGTTTTGAGAAGCTCGTGGGGGACAAAGTGGCCAGCTAACTATCTTGTGCACGGATGAGTAACTGGGGAAGATAATGGCAGTTGAGGCCTCTCAATGACTATTCCCCTCCTGCACCTGCCCCATGTCCCTCCCCATCTCATCCACGATATCTTGTCTGTGCCATCACCACATGTCTGATTGCTCCAGCAAACCCCTCCCTGCCCAGGAGTCATCTTGGATATGAAAATGAGTCATTTTCTCCTAGCTTCTTGCTTCTATGTGGAATTTATCACAGAATCTTATTTCTGACTGCAAAATACATGTGATTCTGTTCACCTCCCTCCATTACTACCATCAGGGTCATCTGTGCCTTGTATACTGTTGTGGGATTGACCACCTGGTCTTCTGCTTCTCCTTTACTCACCAGTACTCTTTCCAGGCCAAATTCTCTGCACTGTAGCCAGATTGAAGAAAAACCAAACAGAACCAACCAACAAAAATAAACTCCAAACCAAATCATACCACTCAGTTGTTTAACTCTAGAGGCCTCCTCAGAATCAGTTTCGTACTCCTGACCATGGGCTGGACGGCACTGCAAAATCTGGCCCTGCTGGTTTTAAGGCCTCATGGGAGCCACTCTCACATTCCAGCACCATCTTTCTATACTGCTAATAGGCCAGCCTCTTCCCTGCCATAGGGCCTTAATGCAGGCTCTTTGCCCAGTTACTGCCTTGTTTATTTAAATAGTTTGTCATATCTTTTTCTTTCTCCCACCAAAAATGAATTATAAGTGCCCTGAAGGAGGGGATGTTGTCTGCCACGTTCCATGTTCAATCCTTAGCACTTACTACAGTCCCTGACTCAAAGCAGATTAAGTGTATATCTGATGTGTGTGCATGCATGGTTATCGGATGACAAAATGCCTCCTAGTTCCATTAGCACAACTGGGACTTGGGGAGGGAAAGCCCAGGTTAGCGGGGGAGGGGTGAATTGAAGGGTTGGCTGGTGTTCTTCCAACTCTTGTGGCATTTCATAGTTCAGCCCAGGCCCTGATCCCATACTGTTTTGTGCTGGAATTATTCATAGGTTGAAAGTACTTTCATATATACTGCTCCTTTAAACCTATGACCTTGGGAAGGATGGAATTATTATTCCCATTTTACTGATGAAAACCTTGAACTCAGAGATTCTTGCCCAAGACACTCACAGCTGGAAGGGTCCAAGTCCAGATTTGGACATGAGTATTCAAATTCCTAGGTCTTTGTATTTTATGCTTGTTCTGGAATTTACAACCCACTTCTTCGTCCCTACCAATGAACAATAAGGGTTATGGATCATAATGCAAAAAACTTTCATTTTGATGCTGATCAAACTGATTTTAGTTAGCTTGATGGCAAAGGAATTCAGTACCTATGTATGTGTATAAAATACTTATATATTTCTCCCTAAGATCTTAAAACCTTGAAAAAGGTAGAAGAACCAAGAAGAGAAATAAGTAAAAGAAAGAAAATTAAAAGAAAGATCTCAAAGGAAAGAAATGGAAAGGAACAAAGGTAAGATTATAATCTAAAAGGAAGCCAAAGAATATTTTCAGATTCTTCTTGTTTTTTGCCAAGGTTACAAACAAAAGAAATGGGTAACAAGATAAATTAGACACACAGAACTAAAGCAAGAAGGCTGATAATTGGTGAGGAAAAAGGGGGAAAACCGCGCCCAGGGGAAGGCAGAGGAAAGGAGAGGCTGGGCGGAGGGGGCTGCTGTGTGAGCAGCATGGGTATGCCATCATCAAAGTACATGATGTTCACTGTAGGCTTGGCATGTGGAGGGTGCTGAGGAGAGACAGAGAAGAGGCACTAAATAACCATTGTTTTCTCCAGTGATCAAAGCAGGAAGTGATGGCCACTCTCTGACCCACATTTGAGTCTCTGTAGAAACTATGACCTTCTGTTGCTTTAGGCACCCTCAGATCCTCAGAAGGCAGGAAACAGAGTTGGTGAGCTGCCCGTCCTCCCACCTTGGTTCAAGTGGCTGCGTCTAGGTGGTCAGGTTGGGGTGGGTTTCATCTGGGGGCAGCTGTGGGGGTAGTGATTGGGTACGCTTTTATTTGCAGGTTACTGTGTGCAGTAACTATCACATTTGCTTTTTAAAAATGCCTTAATGGACTGCTTATAGTAGAAGGAGAAAAATCTTTCATTCGTATGTGTATGTCATTCAAATGGTATTTTTAAAGATTTATTTTTGTGTGTTCACGATGTTCTTGAATAATGTTTCCATAAGTACGGTCAAAGATAAAACTTGCACGGTGCGCAAAATCTGGTCATGCATATTTTAGAGTGTGACCGTCTTTTGGCCAGCCTCAGGCTCCATTTGCTGAGTTCTTCACTGGCCGTGTTTCCTTAGGAGGGCTTGCTTGAGCTGGCTTTCCGACTGGGAAACTTCAGAGCACAGGCTCAGCTAATGGTGGTGCCCTCAGCTGGTGTTGCCCCTTCCCCTTTTCCACCGACAGCTTGGGTCTCTGGACCAATGGAGGCCAGACTCTTGTGTCTCAGCCATTTATTCAGTAGCTATCTGATGAGCACCTTTGATGTGGCAGGTGCTGTGATGGCCTTTGTGGGATATAGTGGTGAATGAGATGGGCAAAGCCACTGGTCTCAGGCAGCAAAGAAAGTAATGAGAGGACACAGTGTCTAAGGGCCTGTGTCAGTGAAGGTGGTCTGGGGTGAGCTCCCTGAACAGGGATTATTTCTTGAATGACACAAAAGACTTGAATAACACAAAAAGACCGCCATACAAAGATCAGGAGAGGCTGCTTTCAGGCAGAAGCAGGTAAGTACAAAGGCCTTGAGATTGGCAGTCAGTTTGGCTAGTTCAGTGAACTGAAGAGAAGCTGGTGTGGCTGGAGACTAGTGAGTGATGTTTGGACAGTGGCAAGAAATCAGTGCCTTAGGGCCAATGGCCAGGATAAGGAATATGGATCTCTAGTTAGCTCAGCTGCTGCAGCAGAATACAGGCTATTGGGTGGCTTCAATGACAGACATGTATTTTCTCACAGTTCTGGAAACTGGAAGTCTTGAGTTCAGAGTGCCAGCATGGCTGGGTTCTGGTGAGAGCATGCTTCCCAGCTTACTGGTGGCTACCTTCTTGCTGTGTCCTCACGTGGTGAAGAGAGAATGAGCGCAAGCTCCCTGGTGTCTCTTATAAGGGCACCAATCCCATCCTGAGGGCCCACCTCCATGACCTCACCTAATTCTGAGTTCCTCGCAAAGGTCCCACCTCCAGGTATTATCACAGGACACCAAAAGGCACCTGAAGGTGTCAACCCTCAAGATGTAGAGGAAAATGCAGCAGTTGTGAATACCTGCCTCTGTTCCTGCTCAGTAATGCTCTGGTCTCTGGATTCCTAAGTCAGCTTCAGATTGGGAAGGAAGACGAGTCTCTCACCCACCAAGCAGCTTTAGGGGTTTGAGAGCGAGGAGCACCACCTCAGGAAAGCAGGGAATGCATGGAAGCTGGCTAGAGGAATGGCCTTCAGTCAGGCCTGACCAGACAGAGCCGAGGTTCTCTGTGCCCCGCAGAAGAGCCTTCCACTTGGGCCCAGGGCAGCCTGGAAAATGACAATGGAGCGTCTCTCCTTTTCTCATGCTTTTAGAATCATAGCCCTGTGGTGGCTTTCTCTGCCTCTGGGATGGCACCAGGGGCCTGAAGTGACTTCCTGGGGAGCCAGATGGTGAGGTCGTGATGGAAGGTACATTTCAGGGCTCTTTTGCTTTGAAGTGGATCTCCCTACCTCCCGAGTCCCACCTATGGTGTTACCCCAGCCAATCGGGGGGTTCCCTGTTTTCCCTATTCTTGTCCCCATGGCCCCACTGCTCTCCATCTGCTTCCCTCTCATATATACTGTTTTGCCTCATTCTGTAGCAGTTTCTGCAAATGAAGACCTGTTCTTTCCAGCAAGTGAACGATAAGCTTCCTGAAGTTGGGCTGCTACTGTGTGATCCTCACTCCTGGATGCAGCAGAGGCGCTTGGTAAACATTTATCCGCTGAATCAAATTGTCTTGTGATTCCAACCTGTCCTCAATTAACCAAGGACCAAGGTGGGTGTGTGGGTGGGTGGGTCTTTAGGTGATTTGTGTCAGGATCACCGGTCATCAGTCATTAGCTTATCACCTTTGTGGTCTTCGCCATACATACACTCCTTGCTTTCTGCTTGTCTTTAAATTGGCTCATGTTTTTCACTTACTGAACTTACTGAGCTGAATTAAGTTCAGCAGGAAACTCGATAGCATGACTGTGTGTAAAAACCACTATCCCTTCCCATAAATAAAAGGTGATTGTAAAAAGAAATCCAAATCTCTGAAATAGAAAGCATGTATCTCTTACTCATGAATCATCTCAAGGGGTCAGGCCAGTACTCTGCACATCACACTTTGGGGAATTCTGATTTATATGACAGGTGAGTGATAAGTGATAGCAATCCTTCTGGTTCTTGGGCACCTTCCCATCCCATGCATTCTGGGCATGACAGCCAGGGACTGCTACCGGTTGCACAAGGAGGTAGCTTGGGTGACCAGTGAGAAGTACTCTGGTGGTGTTCTCCTGTCTTTGGAGACCCCCTGCTCCTGACCTTCTGCCCCGATTCAGGCTCCTTCTGGGACTAGGACTCAGTCTTCTTCCTCTATTAGCTGCTAGACCTGAGAAGAGCTGTGGAGAAGGAGGGAGAGGAGGGAGATGGGAGGGGACCAGACAGGGAGAGGGAAGAGGTAGTTGTGGATGCAATGGGAAGGGAACCTGTCTTTGGTGCAAAGGCTACTCAGTAGCTCCGAGGAGGAGAGAACAGCATGAGGAGGGTCCAGAAAGTGGAGGGGATGGGCTGAGAGGTGTGCCTTGCAGCAGGAAAGGGTTTTGGCAGAGAACCAGGAGACAGTGAAGTGTATATTTGTCTATTGAGCCTCAAGGCGCTGGCTGGGTGTACAAGTACAAAAGCAACACTTTGATTCTTTTTTTTTTTTAAAGATTTTATTTATTTATTTATTCATGGGGGGGGGAGAGAGAGAGAGAGAGAGAGAGAGAGAGAGAGAGAGAAAGAGAGACAAAGACACAGGCAGAGGGAGAAGCAGGCTACATGCAGGGATGTGGGACTGATGTTGGACTTGATTCTGGAACTCTGGGATCATGCCCTGTGCCGAAAGCAGGCACTAAACCCATGAGCCACCCAGGATTCCTGCAACACTTTGATTCTTACACTGCAATGTGTAACCCTCTGTAGGATAAAAGATTTTAAGAGGAAAAGGCAAGGTACAGGTATTAAAGTAGTATGATGGTTATTCAGCTAACGACTTTCATTCTTTCTGTTAGATGTTTGGACTTGGCTTAATTACCTGTTTGCATCAAATGACACAGCAGATCATTCATAAGCCTCCAGATTCACTCTGTTAGGTCCTGACTCACTGTAGATGCAAAGATTCAGAGATAACAGGGACCTTGGTGGGAAGCATCTTCCCAGAACCCTTTGAATAAGCCACTCCCAACGTGTCTGACATCCCCAGAATCTGAACATAAGTTTGGTGGGGGAGCCTTCCTAGCAGGTGACCCCCTAGCTTCATGGGGCACCTCTAGCATTGTGCAGGCTGCTAATGCATAAAGCTGCAGCTCCTGACCTCTGAATGCTGGGCTTCGGGCTCCTATGCAGACATCATCCTGGTTTGGGATAAGACTTTGTAAGGATGTTGGGAATCAGTATGCCAGGTGGAAGACCTGGAGGAAGTATTGCGAGCTCCTGGTGAGTCACCTTCTTCTGCTTCTAGATCAGATTGCTCATAGGGTTGACCCAGGCTGGTTTGCTTCCAGATCGGCAAACCAGCCACCATATACATATATATTTGCAGTCTGCATTTGAGTCCCAAATTTATCTTTTTGCTTTATAGTTTCAGACAATTCATTTTACCTCTAACACCCGCACTAACACCTCAGTTGACTGTTTAGTTTGAATCACAGCTTCACCCCTTGCTTGCTGTGTGACTTTGGGCAAGTTGTTAACCTCTCTGTTCTTTTATTATTTCTCTGTCCATAAAATGGTGATAATAATCATACCTATCTCTTGGGGTTGTGATGATTAGAGACTTGACGTAGGTTAGTCTGTAGAACCCTGAGAGTCGTGTCTGGTGGTCAGGAAGCACTCTACAGAAGTGCCTGAAGTGGGTGCTGGTGCCTGACTGCTGATACTATAACCACACTGACCTTCCTTTCTTGATTTGAGCCTGGGCCTTTGATATCCTGGTGCATGTGTATCCTCTGATTTGCATCTGTCTCCTTCTTGTTTTTTAACCCTCTCAGGGCACAAGGCTGTGTCCCTTCTAGGCCACTTGCCCTCCCCCACCATCACATGCTTCATCCTTTCTCCCAGTTTACTCCCTGTTATCTATTCCCCCACTTTCAGTAATACCACCTGACCCCATCCTACAAGGTGTCCAGATATTAACTGGACCCCACAAGGGCCAGATCTGCCAGACTCCTCTAGGCTGTGTCTGTGCTTTGGCCCCTCCTCTTTTCTCTCACGCTTCCTGGGAGGGGCCAGCTCATTTGTAGTTCAGGGTCCCTCCTGGGCCTTTGGGCACCGTGCTGCTTCTCTGTGCTTAAGGCCTTCTCTGAGGACATCCTGGTCCTCCGCACTGCCCTCACCTCTCCACTTCCCCGTGTGGCCTGGCCAGCGTGTGTTGGTGGGCTGGCCCGCCTGCCATTCCAGATCTGTCCCCTTGCTTTCTGGTGCTTGTTGGAACCACTCTCTGAGGCTTACCTTTCTTGGCTTTTTCTTTTCAATCTCTCCCTTGGAGATGACACCAGTTCCCACAGCTTTGGTGGCTTTCTGCTCTGTGTGTAGCTGTGTGTCATTGGTGTTCTGAGTCGCTATACCCTCACAATATGGTAACCTAGACTCCCCATCCTACCCTCTGCTCTGGCTCTTCCTGATTTTGCCCCTGCTGCCCACCACTCCCTGGGTTTGCCTGCCTCCTCCCTGCCCTGCCCTCCCGAGCCATGCTTCTCAGTATCCCCAGACATCCCTAGGCTCCAGGCAGCTTATGCTGTTGCCTGTATCATGGGAAACCTTTAACCTTTAACCAAACCTCAGGGGTCAAGGTACAGGCCCAAGACCTCAGCAGAGAGTCCAAAGTCCTGCCCCTGCTAATTCCCAGATGGCACACCCACCTCATGGCTCTGATGTTCGGCCCACTGTCATCAGTGCTGTAATGCTGCTCTCTCCAAGGCCAGCCTGCCTCTGCACCCCTTATCCTGCCCTTCGTTGCTCCTTATCCTAATGCCTTTTTTCAGGTTAGTTTTATGGATGAACGTGGCTAGGTCATAGTACCCAGTCTAATCAAACACTGATCTTCATGTTGCTGTGATGGTCTTTTGTAGATGTGGTTAACATTGCACTTAGTGGCCATTGAGTAAAGAATATTACCCTTGATGTTGTGGGTGGGCCACATCCAGTCACCTGAAGGCTGTTCCTACAAAACTGAGGTCTTGTAGAGAAGGAATTCTGCTTCGAGACTGTGGCATCAACTCCTGTGTGTTTCCCAGCCTGCCGGCCCCTCCTAGAGTTCAGATGTGTCAGTTCCCCATGATCACACGAGCCAGTTCCTCTCAAGAAATCAATCTCTGTGTGTGTATTTATATACACACATATATCCATATGTATGAATAAGCAGTCCCTAGTTATCCACAGTTTCACTTTCTACAGCTTCCATTACCTGTAGTCAACTGTGGTCCAGAAGCAGATGACCCTTGTTCTGATGTGTCATCACAAGGTCAGTAGCACATGATATGATGAGCACTGGGTGTTATATGCAACTGATGAGTTATTAAACACCACATATGAAACTGTGATGTACTACATATGTCGGCTAAGTGAATTTCAATTAAAAATATCTATTAAAGAAAAGATCAGTAGCAGCCTCATGCAATGTCATAGTGCCTGCATCATTCACCCATGTCATCTTCTCTTACAGGTGTTTTGTCATCTTATATCTTCATAAGAAATGAGACAATACAATGAGTACAATATTTGGAGAGAGAGAGAGAGAGAGAGAGGGAGGGAGGGAGAGACACCATTCGTGTAACTTTATCATAGAATATTGTAATAATTGTTCTATTAGTAGTTATTGTTGTTCATCTCTTACTGTCTCCAGTTTATAAATCAAACATTATCATAGGTGTGTACACATAGGAAAAGCATAGAATGTATAGGATTCAATACCACCAGTAGTTTCAGGCATTTGCGGAGGGTCTTGCAATTTAACTCCTGTGGATAATGTGGAATTACTGTATATTCATATATATGTATTACTGGCTCTATTTCTCTGGAGATCCCTAACTGATATATTTCCTCTGGCATGGCCCAAGCCTCACTTTTGGGAATCCCCTGAGTATCCAATCTCTAGGAGCTGTGCCCTCCTTCCTGTATCTAGCGCACTGATTGTTGGGATGCCTCCTTGACTTGCCTCATATGGTGTCTGGTGGCATTATGTAACTGTAAGGTTGTGTACCCATTTCATATTGATACTTCTCTGGAGCTTCCTCAGCTCCCAGGGGAACTGGGCACGTAGTAGCTGGTTATCAGATATTTGCTGGCTGAATGCAGGTGGTGGGACTAGGTGGTAAGTTGGGGATTATAAACACTTCCCTGGATTTGTAGGAGGAGAATCAAGAGTATCTAGCCCAACTTCAAAGAATTGGCTTATTCTTTTTGTGTCTGAGGCCTAAGGCCCTAAAATACACCTTAACTACATTTTTCCCCCTTGTTCTCCCTCTCCCTGCCCAGCATGGTTTCCAGAACATAAAATACAAGTTCCGACATGGCAGAGGAGACTAGAACATGAAATTCCTGAGCTTTCAGATGGTTATTTGGTTGGAAGACACAGCTTGATTGTTGTGCTTGGTAGAACTATGTCTTGCTTATGGTGGAACATTCTGGGATTTGTCTCCTAAGTGTCCATCCTTGGGTATCTTCAAGTAGTTC